ACGCAGTGCAGCAGAAAAGGTAAGTCCAGTAGTGCATCAGTAGCATGATTTCGAATGAGGAGACGGTGCAGAAAAAAGACATAGCAAGTACAGAGCAGAACGGATCCACACCTGGATCAGATGAGCAAAATGAACCCTTCATTCTTTTAGTGGAAACTCCTCACCAAAACCTGGAGTGTTTTGCATGATCCACACACCTTATCATCCTCTGTCATTAGATTTGTGTGAGATTCACCTACAGAAGTTCCATTCCCATCAGCTTTCCATGTTGAGATAACCTTACAGCTCCTCAACAAGTTCAAGTGGTAGATGTTTATGTGCTGCTGAAAACCTAAGCTAGAATCCCATGTGTGTATCAGTCTGATGCTAGGTGTTAGAATTTAAATATTTTTCTTTTTTGGTTTGTTTGGGTCTTTCTAAGATTAAAAACTGCAACTGAGGTATCTGTCTTAAAGTGAGTTGTAATATCAAGAACTCATATATTAGGAAAAGCCAAAACTAAAATCATCTCTACACCTCACGTATGCATCGATACAGTCGTTCCCTAGGCAGGCTGGTTATGATCTCATCTAACCTGAGACCTCTACAATGTAAATACATACATCTGAGCTAGTAATCTGGCCTCTTTATTGGTCTGTAAAGAGAAAGGGACTTCTGGGACAGGATACACATGAGCTATGTACATGTCTGGGTACCACAGGAATGTTCAGTGTCAAATTTGAGAGAATTGAGACCTGATTTTTTTGTGTGTTTCTTATATTACACTTAATAGTTTTGAAGCACAGCTACCATTCACTTCAAGAATCATTTGGAGAGATTATGACTTACGAAAACCAAACCTCAGGGCTTCATGCTCAGTTCCCCAGCACAGTACTCAGCTGCCTTCACTATAAAAGCAGATAAATAATATTTTTTCAAGACAATCTACAACCTCATTCACTAGAATAGATGTGACTTTCTCAACTTACTAATCTTTCTGTCAAACGTAAAACATTTGGACGGCTCTGATCAATTTCAATGAGCCTTTCCTTGGGATGTAGTTTTTTGGTTTTTTTTTTTAGGCAGAGAGAGATTTATTTTGTAATTTGTGCTTAGGTTAGCTGTCTGGATGAGCAAACACCTTCAGTACTTGAATGTGCTGTTGTTGAAGAGTTGTGTCGTCACGTAAAGGAGTTACGGGAGGAAGTGAGCATGCATCGTAGCATCTGAGAAGATGAGCAAGAGATAGACAGGTTATTCTCTGAGATCATGCAGCTCCAGGAGTCCCAACCCGCCACAGCAGTGGAGTTGCTGGAGGGCTCTGTGCTGTGTGAAACGGTACATCCTAACACTATAGAAAAAGGCAGGAAACTGGTCACTTCCAGCAGGAGAAAGGCTCTTGTTCGTTCTGAAAACTTTTACCTGAGAAGCAGGTTTAGTGCTCCCCACACTGAGGAGAAATGGCTGGAACGCTGTCAGGGATGGGTATGTGATTTTTAGGAAAGACAGGCCAGGAAGGCGAGGTGGTGGAGGTGCTCTTTATATGAGGGAGCAACTACAATGTGTGGAGCTCTGCCTCGGGATGGATGAAGAGCAGGTTGAGAGCCTATGGGTGAGGATTAAAGGGCAGGCTAACATGGGTGACACTGTTGTGGGGGTTTAACACAGGCCACCTGATCAGGAAGAGGAAGTCGATGAGGCCTTCTACAGGCAGCTGGAAGTAGCCTCACGATCACAGGCCCTGGTTCTCATGGGGGACTTCAACCACCCTGACATCTGCTGGGAAGAGAGAACAGCTAGGCACAAGCAGTCCAGGAGGTTCCTGCAGAGCACTGAGGATAGCTTTTTGACACAGGTGGTGGAGAAGCCAACAAAGAGAGATGTGCTGCTAGACCTTGCACTAACGAACAAAGAAGGTCTGGTTGGAGACGTGAAGGCTGGGGGCAGCCTTGGCTGCAGTGACTGTGAGATGGTGGAGTTCAGGATCCTACAAGGAGGAAGCAGGGCAATGAGTAGGATTGCAACGCTGGACTTCAGGAGAGCTAACTTTGGCCTCTTCAGGGACTTAGGGGAATCTCATGGGGCAGGGCCCTAGAAGGAAGAGAGGTCCAAGAAAGCTGCTTAATATTCAAGCGTCACTTCCTCCAGGCTCAAGAGCAGTGCATCCCTCTGAGGAAGAAGTCCAGCAAAGCGGGCAGGAGACCTGCATGGATGAGCAAGGAACTCCTGGC